CTGTGCACCCTGTCTGGCTCAGGTACTGGGCTACTGAGACTGCATAGAGGAGCAACGTGATTGTGATATTGCATTGCCAGATGTGCCCTCTTGGAGCTAGCTTATCTCAAAGAGACACCATTTACCTCTCTTTTACATTTATATAGTCCTTTCCATTTGGGGAGGGTATCTGAAAGCGATTTGAACTGCTGGCTTGGCACCTGAGTTGGGGGTGGGGGGTGAAGCTGAAGAGTTTATTTGGTTTTGCGCCTTTCACATCGGGAGGATATCTTAAAGCGATTCACGGGAGTTGCTTTGATGTATCTGTAGGCAAACACATCCGTTCAGTTGCACACAGTAATGTCCCACAAAAAGCCATGCTATGAATGATCAATTTTTGTATATGTGCATGAACAGAATGAAAAAGTATTAGTACTAGCAGAGTTTGGCAAAGGCAGAAAAGAGGCACCTCAAAGTAGGCTGCCTTGTTTTAGCTGTGTCAGTCCCTTGCAATGTTAGGAGCAGTGTATCTGATCCTTAGGATAGAAATGGGAGTTATTGAATGTTACAGTTCAGGGAATTAATACTATATGTAAAACTGATAAAGATGAAGGTTATATTTGCCTCATAATATTTTGTTCTCAATAGAAAATTAATGAAACACCTGTACTTTTTTTAAAAAAATTGTAGTACATTTCTCCTTCCCCAAAACAGATTGACAGTAAGTTTTGAAGCACTCTGGCCAGGATTTTGCTCCATGCAGGCCATGATAGTTTCCTCAGAGAATAATAAATTTTTTTTTTACTGGCAGTTACTGCTGCAAGAGACTGTTTGAATTGTTGGTTATGTTTTAGTGATGCAACAGCCTCACTGGTGTAGAAAAGGCAGCAAGTCTGAAATGGTAAGTAAAAGCTAAACATATTAGTTGCCTCTTCCCTGTAAATCATTCTATTTTAATGCATAGTCTGTCGTGTCTGTAAGAGACTATATTTTTCTTTCCCAGGTTCTACAGACATAAAGCTAACTTCCCAGATTCCCTTATTTTTTTGAAAAAGTAAAAGGAAACATAAGCATTGAGGTATCAGTAGTTATTCAAATTCTCCCCCTTTCAGGGAAAATTGTCAGATTTTTTAAAGAAAACTTTCTTGCCAACCAGAAAATCATAGTCCAGTAAAGATTTTATTAATAATCTAAAGGGTTTGCTATCTAGATTTGACAAAATAAGATATAACCCAATATCTAATTTTTGTGAACTTCAAATACAATGACAGCCTGTGTCTGATTCTTTCCCACTTGATCTCTCTTCTGGGTTAAATTGTGTTAATTTTTGTATTTGTAACATTTGAATGCTCTATGCATTTGATTTCTGTATTTCAGATTTTCAGAATGTACAACTACAACAGGAGGGAGAAAATATTCGGGTTGAATACTGAGATTAATTATTTTGTTTACAAGTTGACTTGCATTGCATGACTTGCAGTCTAACTTGTGGTACCTTAGCGTGCCTTGTACTGCAGCTGAATATGCTGTTCAGTGGATGAATAACAAACACAATGGGTTATTTTTATGATCACAAAATGTGCATTGTTCTTGCATTTTGTTTATCTTTTTTCCCACACAATTGAGAAATTAGAATGACTTGCAAATGGAGGATTTTAAAGAAAAACATCGAAAGAAAAATAGTCAATGATTTATTTGAAATTGCTTTAAGAAAAATAAAACAGAGCTTTCCCTCATTTTCTGCTATCGTAGTCATCAAAATTGATTGATTTTATTCACAAATTTAAGTGTACTCCAAGAGTGTAAAATAAAAAATTATTGAACTGTGTTTGAATATGCATTGTGTTGCTGTTTTGCCCAGCCCATCTATCATTCATGTTGTCAAGAGACAATACCATAGAGATTTCAAATGAAAGGCAAGCCTGTTACTCAGTTGACAATTGCATTATACAGATTATACTTGTCAATTTATTTAGTAAGAAACCCAGTTGTTTGGAAGAGTTAGGAGGGAGAGGAGAAAGCTGTTTCCCTTCTCTCCCCTCAAATAAATCTTCTGGAAAGATGACCAGAGAGCAGCAATGTGTTCGATTCAAAAATGATGCTGCCCTCCCAGCTGCAAAAGGTATCTGGCCTTCAGGTTGCGAATTTGAGTTGGAGAGAGAAGACTTTTAACATTTCAGAAAACATTACAACCAATAATTTTGCTATTATTTACAGGGTTAAAGCTGCAAAAATTGCCTTCTGGCTCATCAAAGCTTTGAACTGCTAACAAAAATTGCAATTTTTTTTGAATGATAAGACTTCAAATGCATTTTTTTTCCTAAGAATTGATCAACCCTGGTGTAGCTGAATATAAGGATGCATTTGTTTAGGTTTTCTTGTGCTTCAGAACAAAAGCAATTTATGGAGAAAAGTAATTTTAAATAAATTTGGGGATATTTATAATTATCTCACCAGAGGGGAGAGTGTTGGTAACTGATTCAGCTGTGGGGAGGGGAAAAGAAGAGGGAAGCATTCCAGAATCCTAATTTTATTCTCACTTTCCAGCAGGGAACCATGCCTAGAGTTAGGAGAGGGAACGTGGGTGATCATTTTGCTTCCAAATCCCTCCTCCCAACTGGAAACTGTGAAGGAAATTGTTGTATCCCACGACTGATCAGCTGAGATCTTTGACCTCACCATGGATCGTACCTAGGGCTTTCAGATTCTGCATGTTCAGAGGTTCTCATCCTCTGAGACGTAGGAATGTTATGGGTATGAATTTGCTGATTTGTATGATTTAATGTGGTAAAGAATTTTAGGGAAAATAAGCCCATGGAGTCTGCACCAGCTCTCAGAGAAAGGTGTTCATCTACTTCCCTTTCACTGCTTATTTCTACCTAGAAAGCCTCTTTATGAACCTTGCTTTATGGATTACCCTTTCCCATTTAATACTTCAGTAGTTTAATCTATGGTTACTAGCACCTCCCTTCATCTGATCTCACTTCTCTATCCCTTCTGAAAATGCTGTACCCAGGAATGTATAGTCCCAATCTTGCTTAAACTGAAGTTACATTTCAGTTAGTGCTTTTACATCACATCCCTTTTCCCAAATAGTTCATCCATGTCTAACTGTGTATTTGTATATAAACATTTTAACTAGTTTATTTTTCTATTCACTTTTCCTGCTTTCTATTGTTTTGTACTTTTTTGCCTTTCCATATTATTTGATTTTCTATCTGTCAAAATGCAAGCCGACCCATCTGTACAATCAGCCCTTGTCCTGGAATGTGTCCTAATGAGTCTAAACCCCTTCTGCCTGCACCATTTCATAGGTCACAGATTTCCTTAATCTGCCTCTCCTGATTTAACCTTGCACGTGGCTCTGGGGGTAATCCAGAGATTACAACCCTGGAGGTCCTTCTCTGTAACCTAACAATTAAATCCTTAAAATTTTGTTCCAGGCCTCCTATCCTCTTTTTACCTATAATTGCTGATTCCTATAGGTACGGCAACCTGTAGATATTTGCCCTCCTCCTACAGCAGGTGTTCTATTTGTTCCTCAATGGTCCTTAGTCTTCGACCTGGTGGCAACGCACCTTCCAGGATTTGTGTCCAGAGCAAATATGAGTTTTATCCCTCTCAGTAATGCATCCAGTTTCTAGTGCCAGTGAATTGTGCTCTTTTTTTCCCCCCTATTTTGAAACAGAAAATACTTCCCGCATTCCCCACTGAAGAGATGAAGTGAGTGAGTAAATGCAATTCTATCCACTAAAGCTCTCCTGGTAATATATTAACACTCCCATCATGCCAGATAGTAACATGTTGCTTTAACTGCTAAATTATATTTACTCTTTGAGTAAATGTTTTTTCTGAATGTATAGAATATTTCATTTCAATTGTATACTCAACAAGGACCTTCTTGATGTATTTTTCCCGACTTGAAAGGGGCTATACACATGTAAGGTTGTTGTTGTTGTGTTTACCAAACTGAGAGTTCCGTACATCCCACCTACACATGGAAACTCCCGTGCTTGCAATGGAATGCCCTCTCTTTCCTCTGATGGGCACATCTTGCTTATCTAATTTCGGAGAGTAATAGGTGCAGTTGGTAAGAACGAAAGCTTTGGGACCCCAGAGTGTGTTACTGCTGGAGTGTAACAAGCCTAATAATTTAGTTTATTTAATATTTTATATACAGTATAGGAACAGGGGGGTGGCCATTCAGTCTATGGGTTGAATACTTTGAGGTGGCTCCCAAAGCCAATGTTTCCAAAGTAATCTTTGTTTTCTAATGTATGTCCATATAGCTTGAATCTGTTTACAACGAGAATGTTCTGTGGACTGGAAGTTTTTGGCTTCTGGTGCTAACTGGCTACTTTTCTGAGCACGAACAGGAAGCCAGTCAGCGCTGGAAGCCGGAAGTGACACTATTGGTGACATTTGCCCTGACTTCTGGGACAGTGGTCCCTTTTGCAGAACACAGGAAATTGACTGACCTGATGATTTGGATGTTGACCATTTTAGTGTGACACGCCAGATAGTGCACGGAATTCGAGTGGGCTGCTGCGCAGATGATCAGTGAATGGAGTCCACAGTACAGCCACCTTGTGTAAAATCACACTAAAGTGAAACGTGTTTAACAGGGCTGGAATGTACTTACTATCAAAGCTCACGTGTGTATAATTATAATAATCCTTGCATTTGATTTAGTGCCTTATCCTGTCTTTGAGATATCTCGAAGGGCTTCATAGGGTATACTGTAAAGTGAATTGACTGTATATTTTGTCGGCGAAACGTGGTAGCCAATTGTGCACAGCAGTGTCCCACAAATAGTCTTGGATTAATCGACCAAATATATATTTTTTTATAATGAACCCGATGCTCAAAGGAAATTCCATTGCACAGTATGTTGCTATCAAACCAGATTGGGCACTCAAATAGAAGTTATATCGACAGCATTGAACTGTACTAAATTGCACCTGAGTGACTTGCTGTTAAATGGAGTAACTGTATTTTGTTTTATTGTGGCTGTCTTGCAGATCTATTGTAAAACCTCAGTGGCAGGACCTGTTGCCGTGTCAGATTGGAATCTGGTTTTATTGCGCCCTGAAGTCATTACCACAGCGTTATCAGGTAAGATGGAAAGAAAAGTGTAAAACCTATCATTTCGAAAAAATTATTTGAAGAGCAATGTCACCATTCTTGTGGTTGCAACTTCCTGGAAGATCTGGCTCTGAATATTCTGTTTCCACCACTATCATTGTCCCACAGTTCTTGCTGTTGTAGAAGAACTACTTAGTGTAGCATATACTGTACTACTAATTTTAAAAAGTTTTAAGTGCAGACCTTTGGTGTTAGCTCATTTGGTAGCACTCTCGTCTCTAGGTGTGGGTTCAAGCATCAAGTTGGGAATCAAACTCGTAATTTAGGTTGGCTTTATGGTGTTGTAATGTCAAATGTTAAACTTATAGAAATTGTTAGTTAAACCGGAATTGTGTATCCCGTTTTGCTCACCCCGCTTTAAGGGGGATGTAATAGCATATAGGGGCACAGGGGATTTACTAGGATGATATTACTAGGATGATATTGGGGAAGGGTGAGTGGTTTGGCCTTTCAGCAGAGAGATTGGCGGAGCTGGGAAATCTGGTGAGCAGGGTATGTGAATAGTTGAGGCTGGGCATGATGAAGGCATGAATAAGGAACTTGGATGAAGTTATCAGTGTCCAGAATACAACTATTTGATTCAATCAAGACTAATATTGAACTAGAAAAAAAATAAGGGCTCCTAGCTAACTTATTTCAAGAAGCCCAATTTCTCCCTATTCCTTTGCAATGACTCAATTTGAAATGTATGTGTTCCTACCTGTGTATTCCATAGTTGAGTAAATCAGTTGAATTTAGATTCCCAGATGTTCTGCTCCTTATGATTATGGTCTGCCGCTGTTAAGTGCTCAAAGGTGCTACCCTGTGTGAAGGGCACTAAAAAAATACAAGTTGTTCTTTTTGTTTATTGTTGCTCTGTGGATTGAAGATCGATTCTTGTAGTGTATTTTATTGTTTGCCTGGGTTAGACTGAGTTTAAACTGCATAATTGGCTTTGGAAGTTGCAAAACTGAAGATGTAACCAAAATCGGTAGTGACCAAGAAAAGTGCTATTGAGAACATTCAATAGGAAGACTGAATCAATATCTAAAAAGGAGTAATTTCCTGAGATATGGGTAAATGGCAGATAAAAAGGCAGCACAGTCACAATGGGATGAATAGCCTTTCTGAGCTGTGGATTTCTATGGTTGAATTCAATTTATAGTTACTTGTTTGTAATTTGACTAAATGGTCCATAATTTTTGAATCTCAAGGAAGTAGAATTTTCACAGCATAAAATAGGAAACTGCACCTGTTGTGGTTTAGAAAGAAAATAAGAACTTTCATTTTATAGTACCTAATTATGTCTGAGCATCTCAAAATATTAGAGAAATAATTCCTGTCACGTGTAATAACTGTTTGTATTTACATTTTAACGTATAACCGATTACGGAAGGAGGAACATTTCAAATTTAAATTTTGAGATTACATTAACTTGTTTATTTGGTGGTTTATTTGCAACATGGAACAACATTTTTAAAAAATTTAATAAATTATTTTGTCCCATTGTGAAGGATTTTAGCAACCCTATTAAGTTTGTAGATGAGCTATACTCTCTTTTGTATATCTATTCTACTTGTATTTGATATACAATTTTCAATGTTAAAAATGTGATTTTATAAGAAAAGCACTGTAGATGACAGGACATAACTAACTGTCCATAGAGCTAGCACAGACGAATAGAATATGGTCTTTCAAGGAGCTGTGTTTCCCCCCACTCCACCAACAATGTCATGTATTAATATCCTGTGCATGCTGCCTGTGCTCACAGACAAATGTGTAGCTGCAAATTGAGTAAACGTTGTGAATGAGGGCATTTACAATTAGTGTATGCTAATAGTAGCACCACATATGCATCGACTGGAAACTCCTTCATTACACATTTTTTAAATATCCTTTTGATGTGAAAAAATGGCAGATAGAATGATGACTGTCATCTGTTTTCTTTACGCCAATTTTAATTCACAGGCATAAAATGATTATTTCTCTATTCATAGTTCTTACATTAACTGGATCTTTAAGAGGTTCATCTGTAAATATTGTATACACTTTCATGTTAGTGCTAGAAATTGCTAAAGAGCTGAAGGATTTACACACATTTGTAAAATTCAAATAGTTGCTTTTAAAAATGCACATGGAAACTTTTATAATTGGGAATTCCATATTAATAGCAGCACCGATTATGAACTGTGACTTCATCGGGTGTTATTACTGATACTCATTTGATATTTATTTGTGAAATTATAAATTCATGAAATTAAGATATTTTGTTGACAAACTATTATGACCAAATATCTGCCAGCAGCTTGTAATTTGATTGATTGGATTTTTACTAGTTGTAACATTATAAATCAAAGGGAATATAAAAAATCGGTATGTGTTACAGGATGCCATGGATCTTTATCAGGAATGGAAAGAAATGAAAGTAAAGGAAAAAGAGGAGGCAGAGGCACAAGCTCAGTTTGAAGCTGGACACAGTAAGAAACATCTGCATTTCATAAACTGCTGTTTTGTCACTGGTGTGAGACTAGTTAACAAATAATGAACAGCTATAGTAAAATGCCTTAAGACTTCATTTTTCTCCTCAGGAGACCCACATTTCACTGTAATCCACAGATAGCAACTTATTGTAAAACTGTTTTGATTGGTTGTATTACTCATAGAATCGTTGCATTAAATTGCCTCTAACTTTATCTGCTGCTTACTAAATCAAATGTGGTTCCAAATGGCCAGGATGTCCAATTTCAAATATTATCAATACAAATTGGGAACTGCGAATTGTAAGGTCATCTCAGACCTTCAATGCCAATGCTTTTCTGTTTAAAGGATCGTTTTGCTTTGATTTGAAAGTCTTGGCCCATAAAGATTTAAACACATTAATAGTATTTGAACACTGTCAGCTCATCAGTATGATTGGATAATATTGTTCTGAACCTGCTGAAGTACTGTGTATAGACCATTTTGCAGTCAAATCCAGATGTGAAAGACCATTTGAAGTACATAAATGTTTATCTGAAACAGCAATGCTTTATTGTGAATGACCCTTGTAAAATGAAATGCAGTGGAAAGTTGTTCATTGAAACTGACTGGACCTCCCAGTATGTATAATTATTTCCATTTGAATCTGTATTTGTTTTCAAGCAAAATTAATATTTAATGTAGTGTAGCATTTGAATTAATACACAATATTATCAAAATTATCCACAGGATCAGTTATCCACAATTATTCACACAATTGCTGCTTGTAAACACTTGTTTAATAACTAGCATAATAATGTGATTATTTTAATAGTGATCGTCTCAAATGAAAACCGCACTACTGTGGCAAAATACATTTGTTAAAATAGCCCTTACCACACAGAAGGATGGTGCTGTACATCTCATAGTAGTCTGTGTGTTCGTAATTTGGTAAATCATAGTTTGGAAGCGCAGTTAATGATAACATTAACATCTTCCTAAGAGGGCAAATGCAAATCATAAAGATTGGCATAGATCTATTTTGCGCTGCCTGTTTTTCATGACCTAATTGCTAATCTGCCTGCATGTCTGTCTGCTTTACCACGGAAACTGTGCAGTTGTCCTCTTGGGACAGAAATAGTACGGTAGTGTGGGATTCTGTGCAATTTGCAAATTGAGAGAATGCAACACGGGGTCTCATTAAAACAATGTGTTGCAGCAGAAGACAAGAGGTGTGAATAGATAATCTTCTTGAGGTAAATATTACCCTGCTGGGTGCATCTTTGCACAGACATCGTGAGCTCTGATATTTTGTCTGTACCTTTCTGACATTTATTGGCAGTTTTCCATTTCTTTGTGGTCAACAAATTTTAAAAACAAGAACCTCTTTTCTTTATAGCAATTCACAGCTTGCTCAATATGATTATAACATTTGAAATAACGATCTTTTACTTCAAAATTTACATTTCGACTTGCTGAAGTAACAATCGCTAAATAGTAACTCCTCATCCCCATTTAGATATGCATTGTAGGTATTTTTAATAGGTTTAATAGTTTTTTTTAAAAAAAACTGAAGGAAAGCCTTACAGCTTTGAAACCTTAATCTTTTAAGGTGTGAAAAAATAAAAAAGTACAGTAGTTGAACTGCCTTTTTGGATACCTTCCAGAGGAAAAGAAGCCCAAAGTAAAGAAACCAAAATCTGAGTTTCCAGTATATACAGCCTCCACCTCTGGAGCCAGTAGTGTCTATGCAACATTGCACGATCAAGCTTCAACTATTGAGGACATTGAGGAACAGATGGCTGACTGGCTGGACAATAGCACAAAATTGCAAAAGAAGAAGGTAAGTCACAAAACTAAATGTCAGTTTAATATCTTAAGTAACTTTAATTTGGTATATAATTATGTGGAAATCTTTTTAATGAGGAAATGTCTGGTAGATATTACAAATAATTAAGGATGTTAATAGACATTTTTTAGAATTCTGCCATTAGAACATTAAAATCAAAAATACTGCAACATGAGCCCTGCAATGTTAAGACTCCTATTTTATCCTGTTGTTATAATTTCAACACAAAACAGTAGAACATTTATATCTCTCTCATGCTAATTTGCAAACTAAGATGTTGTAAATGCTGGTTGCTTAAAAGCTGCAAATAATTTATTAACGTGGAGGCTTGATTATGACACCTTGTAAACAATTAGTCTACTGCATTGTACAATATGATTTTGTAAGTGGACTAGTCTAATAAACTGTTTGTTAGATGTAATAGGCAGCCACTTTCAGAAAATTGTCAGCAATAATGATAAACACCTGACCTACTGAAAAAGGATCAGAATTGTTTAAACCAGATTCCTGTCACACAGAAACTATTCTAAGTAAAGTAACGTGGTTTTATTGTAGAGTGTAAAGGCAAAGGTCTATTTGACCTAGGTATCAATTGGTTTGGGAACTCAACTATCTACCAGGTGCAACCCTATCAGTATAGTAATAATGTTCCAGTGTGATGGATAAGTGGGATTCTAGTATATTTTCTCTTGAACCTCAGTGAAGTTACTTACACTGCTTTAAATCTATAAAACTGCAATCAAACAAACCCTTTCAGTTTGTGGGATTTTTTGTGTTTGAAGTGATGTTCAGTATGTATTTTACCATTTTAACCTTAAAGTGCCTGAATCATCCACATGTATTTTTATGAAATGATCCTTAATCCTTAGGATTTGTATTATACTTTTATTAAGTTGTAATTGATTTGCAAGTTTCAAGGCTTGAGTGCCAAAGTTAGGGGACCCCAGAGAATACATTGGGTTGCTGGCAAAAACTGAAAGCTTGCCATTGAGAGCACGATCGGACTTGTGTGTCTCAAGAGCTGGACTATGAATCCAGAGGATTGATACTGACTTTCTTTTGTCAGTTCAGCTCCAAGGAGACAACTCTGCTTACCTTGTACGCCTCCTCCATTACCTTGTACGGCTTGATGTTCTGCTCAGCTCCACAAAGTTGAAATCTGTGCCATTTGTATCCTCACCTGTAACAAACTCGACATCCCTATCACCTCAGTCCTTGCCAGGCTCCACTGAATCTCTGTTGCAGAACGGAACGGTATCAAGATCCTTACACACGCCAACAAATCACTTCATACCCTAGCATCTCCCTACCTCTGAAACCTGCTCACGATCGTGCATACAGTCACTTCACCCCCCTTCTCTCGGCTCAATGTCAAACTACCTATTGTTGAATGCTTTGTGACTAGCCCTCATGAAGGGTGCTGTATCAATGCAAATTGTTGTTGTACCTCTCCCCCAGGTCACTGGAATGCTCATCTATGTCTTTATTGCACCCCAGCTCGACTATGCAAATGCTTTGCCGAACTCCCCAGCTATTCCCTGCACAGGATCTGCTCATGTCCCCGCAAGCCTATCGGTCCAATGCTTGTTTGGCTGCATTTCCCAACAGCTCCTTGTTCTCGCATTTATATCTCTCATTGCCTCGCCCCACCCTACCTCTTCAACATCTTTCACCCATTTCACTCAGGTTTTCAACACTTTACTGTTCTCTGTAACTCCTTGCCCAGGTACCTCCAACTTACCCCCTCCTTCCTTTCTTTCAAGGTATGTCTCAAAATATACCACTTTAGCGCTTTCGTTCATCTTTCCCTCCTCACCCCCCAGCTTCGATGCTCAGGGAACATTGTCAAGTGCCTTGCAACATGCTCCTGACATAATTACACTATATAAGTGCAAATTCAGTTGTGTTCTCCCTCAAAACGAAAAGGGAGTTTCTCCCAGACCAACAATAGCCCAGATAAAAATTGTTCCTTCACTTCATGAATTTGGTGGGGGGTATTACCATGTGCAAATTGGCTGCCATGTTCACTTATAAAATACCCAGTCACTACACTTTACAGTAAATCTTGTGAATCGCTTTGAGGCATCCTCCTGGGATGAAAGATGCTACATTAAATCTAACGATTATTACCAATTCATGTTTGGTTTTCTTTCATAAACTGTTTACAACATTTCCGTGTCCCAGTTTGATAAATGTTTAGTTTTTCAAGCCATCCCCTACTAAAATTTGTAGAACGTTCATGAAATAAGTGGGAATAAATATGCAATGTTATAACACTTTTGTTATTACTTGCAAATACTGTGTGTTTCTGGGAAGAGAAAATAAATAGTATATTATTAATATGGAACTGTGCTTCAAACATCAATGAAAGCTAAAACATCCCTCAATTCAGTTCCTTTGGGAATTAAAAGTAGAAGAAAAGGAGAGCTGTTTCTGTTGGTGTGTATGGGTCTGATAAGAGCATAAATAAATGGATGGACTTGTCCCCCAGAGTCGGGCCTTTTATTTTGTTTAGCAATAGGAGTAGGATTAAACTGTGCCACACAAACCATTTTCATGTCCTTACTCTAAAATCTTTTAGGTTTGAAGAATGTAGAATTTTGTGTATCAATAAGTCATCACATCAAATCTTGATTTGGGTCTGAAAGTAATCATTTTCTATACATCTGAAATCTGTAGAGGAGTTGAACCCTTTGTAGAGATGCTAAACTGAAGTCCAGTCTGCCTGGGCAGGGAACTATTTCAGAGTAAACTTGATCCCAGTTCACACAATATGTATTGATTCTGTGAGTAATAAATTTAGTTTGCACTGCGTAGCTTTGTAAATTGACAAGATCAGAAATTTACAAGAATCTGTTGATGGCTGGCTATTCTAAACGAGAAAAATCTGACCATAATGAAGGACAACTCTTTCCACACTATATGTTCTTATATATAAGAATGACAAATTACATTTGTTTAGTGCCTTTCACGTCGAGAGGTCTTTCCAAGGCACTGGACAGTCAAGGATTTGCACCCGAGCTGGGGGTTGAGATCAGGAGGGATGAAGCGCAGGAGCGTAGGTTAGGAGGGTGACTGAAGGAATGGTCGAAGAGGAAGGTCTTGAGATGCGCCTTGAAGGAGGAAAGGGAGGGGGCATACAAAATATCATTACATAGTGATATCTTTGCTCCCCTACCGCCTCCATTTTCTCCCTTCTCTTCCACGCTAATGATTCTTGCTTGGAGTATGATTTCACAGATACCAGCAACTTTCTGATACATCATTCAAGTGACATTTTCCATGTAATAATAATAATCCTTGCATTTAATATAGCGTTTTCTTCTAGATGTCTCAAAGTTCTTCACAGAATATACAGTAAAGTGAATTGACTCTATATTTTGTGGGTGAAATGTGATAGCCAATTGCGCATAGCAGTGTCTCACAACCAATTGTGGATTGAGTGACGCAAATTTTTTTTAGGGATTATTACAACAACAACAACAACAAGATTCCATTTATAGAGCGCCTTTCACGTCAGGAGGACGTCCCAAGGCGCTGGGACGCCTTGGGACGTCCCCCCAAAAAGCAATCCGCCAATTGACTGACAACCGGGTTCCTACTTACTGCTGGATAAACAGAGGCATGTGGATATATTTAGTGTTGGTAGACTAATTGACTGGGAGAGGGAGAGGCAACCTCCTAATCATGTTCACACATCTTCAAAGAGTGGTTATTGCAGCAGAACAATTGGGTGGTTAATATTCCCCTCCCTTTAAAAAATAGCTGAGGTCATTGAGGGCACCTGATTCTGTCTGGACCAAGAATCTTACCTTGGGGTCTTCCTGGTTTATATGGCTTTGTACCAAACTAAAAGGCTTATTTTTTGAGCCAATTATATTGTGCTTCCGAATTTAGGTTATAAACTAGAGTCACTAGACATGATAGTAAATGCTGTGAAGTGCTTTGAGACGTCCTCCCAACGTGAAACACTCTATATCAAATGCAAGCATTATTCAATTTATTCTGATTAAACCTAATGTAGACTGCTTTATTGAAAATGTTCTAATCTATTCTCATAATGGAACCAGCTGCATCTTGCTGAGAATACCACTCACTCAAAAAGAGGATGTTCCACAAACCATGAAATGAAAGCCTGATTTATCTGGGAGAATGTTGGCCAAGACATCAAAGGAAACTCTTTTCAAATAGCATCATGGGATCTTTAATGTCTACCTCAGTTGGCAGACGCAATCTCAGTTTAATGTCTTGCACAATGAACAGAACCTCCACATTGTAGCTCATCCCCAGTACTGGAGTGTCTCCTTCCTTTTAGTCAGTGATTAATCCACATCTATGATCTTCCCACAGTATCCACCAACATTATTTTGTAAAGGAGTCTCTTGTGTAGCACTTTATTAAAGGTCTTATGGAAGTTGTGGCACACTATGTTATATTGCTTCCCACTGCCAATTTGGGATGTCATCTGAGGTTGGTAGCAAGATCTTCCCCTTGTGAAGCCATGTGCTATTTATTAAATGATTTTCATTTTGATTCTATTGATTTTCCAATTGTTGAGGTCAGGCTGATGGATCTGTAGTGGTCAGGTATGACTTTTGGCATCTTCCTTAAATACGGGAATCACATTTGCAGGTTTCCAATCTATTGAGGTGATCATTTTGTTCCTTCAAATGATTTTTATTGCTTCATAATTTTCCTTGTTTGTAATTACCTTGGGGTACAGTTCATCTGCTATGGGAGTTGCTACTTGGGTGAGCTACATAAGGGTGATTGATGTAGAACAGTATCACCAACGGCAACAAATTGCATTTTATAGCACCTTTCACGTCGGAAGGATGTCCCAAGATGCTGGATAAACAAGGGTTTGTACCCGAGCTGGGTTGGATGAAAGAGGGCTGGGGACCAAGGAAAGAGGGGTTGGAGTGGTAAGATGACCAAAGATGAGGTCAAAGAGAAAGCTCTTGAGATGGTTCTTGAAGGAGTCTAGGGAAGGG